AACAAAGAACAATAAAATTAATTAGCCTTTGTAACTGAGAGAAGAAAAGAGTGACCTCATAAATGTTGTGAACATAGCTAGTACTGCAGCAACTGTGCAAAATCTCCGAAAAAGACACATTAGTGTGATTTCTTTCACCATACTTCTGAACCAAAAGTTGAGTTCTCCAATATGCTAAGTTCTATACTTCATATTTATGGGTTGATAGAGATCCTCCAAATCTCTGGGAACTTAAAAGGTTTTCTAAAATCACATAGGTAAAGGATTTTATTTTTAAATAATGCACCAGTTCTTTCGTAGCACAGTTGTTAATCAAAAACAGAAACTACAGATATAAATTAAGTGAAGCACGATGAAGAAGTAATTGCCATTAAGCTCTGCTATTTTAACATAGATATCCCAGCCAACAATTACAAAGGTTCTACAGGAGAACAAGTATATTGAAATGATAATTTTACATGCAGACACTGAAGAAGATTAGGCACCAAAACATAATTCTCTTCCCAGGAAATGAGACCATGCAAATTAGTTTTACACTAAAAAATATTCGTAAGACGATCTCTTTTGCATATACCAGTCAAACCTCTGGTCAGGTGGTAAAAGGCTTAAGATCATAGGTAGCTCAAGTCCTCATGTCGGGCATCTGCCTTAATGTGGGTTACAGGATTAAAACCTATCACGTGTTACATGAAACAAAGAAGACAGAATATAGCATTCATCCATTTACAGATCAAAATAATGCTGAGCTTTAACACAACACGTATATTCAGTTGAATTGATCTAATGGCCACCATGCAGTGCAGACAGTCCCATTAATCTTCAAACTTAGAAAAACCCAAAAAAGAAAGCATAAAACTCACTTTATCCACATACTACAAGAAGGAAAATAGTTGAGAAATTTGCTCATTCTATAAGTAACCACTCACTCTAAGTGCATTTTTTATCTGAGCCGACTCTGGTATCAACCTTAATGCCACGCCGTCAACCTTCAGCTGGAAAACCTGCAAAACCCGGATCCAGGTTTGATTCCTCCAAGGATTATCAAAAGCAACAATGAAACAGAGCATTAGCTTCTTAGTGTACTCCACACACCTTTCTAACTTTTCTATACAAATTCAATCAATTAAACGCATTTAAAAAGAAGGAAAGAAAGAAAATGACCTTGTTGAGAGCAACAGCAACCACTTTAGAACCTCCTTTTCTCATGCCAGGATCCATACTCTTCATCTGTTCCAAAAGAGCCTCAGCATCCTCCTTCTTGAAACACAACAACCCGAGTGACTTTTTAGTCGAAACGCCCGAAACCAACACGAATTCCTCCTCCGAATTACTCAAAGCATAAACCGGAACCCCAGCCAATCTCTCTTCTATTACGTCAGCCGACATGGTAACCCCTGATTTTTTACTCAAATCAAGCTGGGTCTCGCTAGAATCAACAATTCGAGCAAAAACTGGGCCTTTTGGAGAAAAAGAAGGTGGATTAAAGTGAGAAAAAGTGCAGTCAAAAGAGGCCTTCAAGTGACGATGAGTTTCTTGGAGGAGAGAAGAGCAGTGGGTTTGGAGGTTAGAGAACGCTTGCTGGAGGTTCAGGAGAGGAGGGGGTTGTTTTAATGGTGAGAAAAATTTTGGGGTTATGGAGTCGGTAGCGGAGTTCATTTTCTCGGGAAAATTTTATGGAAAGAGAGGAGTAAACAGCAGAGAGTGAGGTTTTGGGCTTTGACAGAATTAAGAAATGACAAACACGTAGAGAGGGAAATAGAAAGTGTGCTTTCTGGTAGCGGAGGGTTTTTGTTGGGTGGTTCCGATAGCACTGGAACTAGATTATTCGGCCAAATGGAAAATGTAGATTTTTTTTCTATGATATATAGAATTTTGAAACATAATCAGTAAAGTACTCTTGGGATTTTTGGAGTTTATTTTTGCAAAATATTTTTTTTAATGTTTTAGGTGTCAAAGTCTGTTATGTTTAGTCTATATAATTAGAAGAAGTCATTTCTCATTTAAAGTTTCATAAAGTTTAAAAGTTCTTTGGATAATTAAAATAATGAAAACTTTCATAAATGTAAAATATTTTACAAATATATGAAAAAAATTAAATTGACTGGCGTAAAATATTAATTCAAGAAGGACGTGAAGCTTTTCTCATCTATCTTTCCATGAATCTCACGTAGATAATATTATCTTCTATTTTTTGTGATATGGATCTCACAAAACAATAAAGTATCATTTTTTATCTCTTTTTTATTATTATTTTTCTCAACAACGCATCATTAACTACTTTTATGTAATTATTTTATAACGATTATATCACTATAACTATTTCTACTAAGATATTATAATTTTTAATATGATACAAAATAATTAAAAAAATTATATAGTATACAAAATTATTTTTTCACACATGAAAATCTATCATTTCTTTTCATTTTTAAATTCTAATTTATTCATTTAATAAATTAATCAGCATAATAATACGATGAGAAATAAATAAATAAATAATATTAAATATTATTTATATATAATATTTTTAATATTGAAAAAATATTGTAGAAGAAAAATATTGATATTTTTATGATTTTATGGTAAAAAATTTATTGAAAAAATTTAGAAGATAACTAGTTTTAAAATTAGTTAGTTTATAATTAACTTTTTTTAAGAATTACTTGTTATCAATTTTTGTAAAAACATGCAAATAGTGAAATTAATTATTGAAAACAGTCTATGGAATATTGCCGACCTTTTTGAAGCAAAGCACACACCCTACTCTACTTTGAGAAATCGATTGAGCAAATGTTCTCTCCTGTGCTCAAAGTAGAGGGGGATCTGTACCGTTAACAGGATCAGCATCAGTCACATGAATGGTCTCATTCATGGGTTAGTGTGCAACCCACGCCATGCCGTAATGTTAATTAATCACAGTAATTATATTTGTTAATTAAATGATAACTCAAAAAGAATGGTTTTTAAATCTATGAATGCATATTTGCAGTTAATCAAGCCGCAATTAATTTCATATATCACTATTGAACTTTCATAAAATAAATAATAAAATATCCATCTAAAATATCATATTGTTATTAATCATTTTCAACTTTAAGATTAAAAAAAATTATAAGATTACCCACGGATCGCTTTAAAACTTAACTACAGGACCTTAATTATAGTTTCCAAAAGCAAATGAAAAAAATTTATTGCTAACTAAAGCAATAGAATACAATTTAAAAGTAAATTAACAACCGGCGACAGTGCAGAAAAATTCTATTCCTTTCTTCTTTCTTTCTTTCTCTTCTCTGGAGTTATCCAGATGCTTCCTTCCGTCTTCTTTTCTGGCCCCTTTTTCCCTAGATGGATCTTAAGACCATCCAAGCTAGGTTGGGCCATGGTTTGGTAGAACAGAAGGTCTTCGAGATGGTTTGGGGCAGTGATAATAGTCCAAGGGTGACCATGGATGGTGATGAACCTCGTGACGATGGTAAGATGATGGTTCAATTTTTATTTATTTAATATTATAAATATATATAACTCCAAGTATATAATATAATTTTTTAATATTTTTTATATAAAATTTTAAAATTATTACTAATGTTGAATATTTAAGGATTGGTGTAATATTTTTTTTTTCAGATTTTGTTGTTGTCCCTGTCCTCAATCGTTGCCGTTTGTTGACATCAAAATCATTTTGGTCTTCACCAAACACAAAAAAATAATTATAAAAGAATAAGTAAAATGATGTGACAGTTATCCTTGTCATTCAATTAGATTCTGAATTACTTTAATAATTTAGAGAGATTAAAAAGCCTATTTTGTCTTAATCATTATAGATAGTATTTCCAACGGGAAAAAAGACCTATCGTGGGAAGGGATAGCGTAGGGTGTAATAGAGATTAATTACAAGCATGAGACACATGAATATTTCCTATTCCCTATGAGATAAAAAGGCGTATTTGGCCTTTAGGTGTGTGCTCACGGTACAACGTAGCATTATACACTAGGCAGCACATCTCTGTCGCATTGGTTAGGTCAAAGTGGGTGTCGTTTGTAGTATAACGGCAACTTCCTATACAAAACAAAAAGGGCGTAAGGAGGAGCGAAGATTGCGTCGTTTGTGGGAAACGCATCCGTGTAACAGCGGCTCCTGATTGGGCAAAGTTGTTACAGTTGGACTCCGTCTGGTGGCTGGGGTTTATTTACATTACATTTGATTTAGCTGTTCAGTCAAGATTACGTTTCCGTTGTCTGTTGGAGATAAATGTCTCACAGCTCTGTGGGTTTATAGTTTCCCGAAAATTGAAAGATCTGATTTTGGCAGAGCGGTGCACGTTAGTCATGGGTGCCTCCATGTGCAACCAAGGTTTCAATCACCTGCAACTGCCTGTAGTTTATTTATATATGTTTTTGATGTAAATATGAACTGTAACTAGGTTAAAATTTAATGTCAAATACTAAGTACATATATTTATTTCTTTCCCATTTTTCTTTATAAAAATGATTGGCTGATTGGGTTATAACATAGTAGGTTTAACTCTCTAATTCCTTAACTCAATTCATTGTAGTACATCATAAGATTTGGATACTAAACATTACAAAGATGATTGATTAGTTTCTAGAATGAGTAACATTAACTCTTTTTCTCATTCTGTTTTACACCAATGGCATGCCTATACATGGAACTCTAAACTTCTTTAGACAATTATCACCAAATAATATGGCCCTCGATTCTTCCTTTTAAAGGGAGAAATAAACATTTCCATAAATTCATCGAGTACAGAATTCGCTTAGGTTCAACCCTTCACTATCAACCTCTTAAAACTCTCATTCATGGAGTAGTTAGTACTAGCAGATAACGATTGAAAAAAAGGCCAGAGGCAGTTGATAACATGCGCACATGGGGTACAGGATAAGCCGTTCTCATCAAAGAGACCCATCAGTGTTCCGTACAGTCCCATTTTAGGAGTTTAAGAGCCCACCACCATATGCATTACACAAAAGAAAAAGAAAAAGAAAAAGGCTTTTTCTCTTCTGGCCTTTTCACTATTATTACTTACTATACACTCACTCCACAAAAGTCAGTCTTCCTTCGTTGGTTTTGATTTTCTTTGTGGAAAAATCCTTCCTTTGGTTTTGGTTTAGTCTCTTCGCCTTCCTTTCTCTCCAGTTTCTTGTCTCAAAACACTCTCTAAAACTCAGAACTTTGTTTCTTCTTGTTCATAATTGTTTTTGTCATGGACCGCCAAGATCAGGGAAAAAATCATTCCTCAGGTTTTTCTTTTTCCTCTCTTTTTTGTGCATGATTTGGTTTTATTTTCATGGCTTTATCATCATTTTGGGTACTAGAAGTTGTTTGCCTTTTCCACTTTGTATTGGTTACTTATTTGCTAGTATGAAAAACTATTTCTGGGTTTTCTTGTTTCTTGAAAAAACTGCAACGTTGCTCTTCCTTCTGCCATTAATTTTGTTTTCTTTTTTTTTTTCTCAAGAACTATTTTGTTTATATGGGTTTCTTCTTGTTTCTAAAAATAACCATTTTTTTTCATTGTTTTCTGATTTTCTTTTGTGGTTCTAATTTTACGCTTTCTAAACTATGCTTATTTCTCCATATACATACATACATATATATATATGTATAAGTCCTGGTTTACCTTTTTTTTTTTCTTCATTTTCATCTTTAAAACTGGTTAATTTGATTTCCTTGATTTTGCAGGGCATGAGAGCCATGGAGTTCATTTGTGTCACAAATGTGGGTGGACTTTTCCAAACCAACATCCTAGTGCAAGACACAGGCGTGCTCACAAGAAGATCTGTGGAAACATTGAAGGTTACAAGCTAGTTGACTCAGGGGATATTACCCTTTCAACTGCTTCTGATGATGAAACACCTTCTGATGAGGATCACCAATCCCCAAGTAAGCACACATGTCTCATTTCCTAACTGTATGCGTTTCCGCTTTTATCATAATCATGGTCTCTTTGTATATTGGTGGAGAAGGTAAATTTTGAATTTTGATATAAATAAATGGGCTAGTTGGATCGATCAAAAAAAAAAAAAAAGCGCTAGCTGGGGTAATTTGTTGAATTTTAAAGGGATTGGGGGGAAGCATGAGAGTATTAGTTGAACTAATTATCTAATGTGTTACTTTTGGTGAATCTAGTTGCTCAAGTTCCAAAAGTTCTGGAAAGCGGTAGTCTGAAGAAAAGTATCAGTGGAATTGGAGCAATGTCGAATAGATCTGAAGATGAAGTCTTTTCAGATGCTGCAATGGAATTTCAAGACAGTGGTAAGGGAAGGCAGGACAGTTTGGATAATGCTAGCAAAGCAGACAAGATAGATGAGAAGGATCTTACTGCCACCATTTCTTTTAAAGACTGTGAAGATACCGGTAAGTTTTGGATGAGACTTGACAATAAATTGATGTTGGCAATTTTGGGTGTGGACATGTGTTGCGTGTTAGGTGACCAAATGAATGGTTTGTCTGAGAAATTTAATTATGTCAGTTGCTTGTGGATTTAATGGCATATCTAATTTGCATATATGCAAGGCTCAGCGGTAGTTTGTCTCCATTCCAGTAGTTTCTGGCTATTATATCAAAGAATAGACTTGATTTTACAAATAGATGTGACATTAAATGAAGACAAACTTATGTTATTTTATTACTAGCCTGCTGCATACTCATACACGTGAGTGTATGAGAACAAAGCATTCAAAATAGGATTAGAAGAGAGAAAGGAGGGAGGAATCAGAAAAGAGTAACTTGAAATTGTATGTTTTATTGTTGTTTGTTTTAAAGAGAGAACCGTAGTAGGTGAGTATGATAAAATTCAATTGGACTATATGACTAATCTGCCCAAACTTGATGTAAGTTTTTATTTGTTTGATTGGTTATTTTGTAAATTCAAAACTGAGTTGGCCTGTACCAATTTGAAGATTAATTGGACTATCCCTGTATATAAATGATGGAGGTCATTACTATTTTGGTGATTATGACTTCAGGATGACTGACTGAAATTTTTCAAAAATGATCGTATTATTTTTGAAGTTCCATTTTTCTGGAAAACGACACTATGTCTTATGTTGTAGATAGCAAGTCATGAGGTTTAGTGCTTGTTTCAAAGTTTGTGGCAGATGCTTGCACCATGTGTTAGCTTCTTCTGTTGATTTACTAACTGCTAGAATTTGAAAGGTGACACATGTGACACCAATCACATGGTTGCATTATGCTTCTGAATTCACTGTGTTGCTACAAAATTTTCAAAAATTTTAAAATTAAGTTATAAAATACTTAATATGTATCATGTTATGAACTGTGCTTCAGTTTTGTTCTGCTTTTTGATGCTCCTGAACCAACCTAAAGGGGAATTTTTATCTATCCACTTATTTACTTATTCTTATTGATTTGAACCTGATCCAAGCCTATGCTACAGACACCCAAACAACACCTTAGGATGTAACACAAGACTAAGAAAAAAGTTTTGTATTGGATTAGAGATTTACTGCTTTGGGTGCTTCAAGGATATTATATCAATTTCCAGCCTGTATCTGACATCTAGTGTGTATAATAGGCTAAGTTTGCCAAACCATAGCACATAAGGTTACATGCAAATCACCATTCTTGTCATTTAGATTCAGAATAAAAGAAATGAAACTCTCACTAAATTTTCAGTTCTTTTTGGGTGGACAACATTGATTGAGGTGTCAATTGGTATATTTTCTAGCATAAGTGTTGATCTAACTTTAAAAATTTGGTTTCATCTACCTATGCAGATATTCTTCAACCACCACAGAATCCAGCTGACACAAGCCAAAATGTGAATGCTGTTCTAGAAAATATTCCTATTATGTCGAGTGGCACACTGGAGCACCAAGACATTGGCTTGAGCTATAGTAAAGATTCTGATGATAGGAATGGTTCTGCATGTGATGTGGTCCTCACAAAACCAGAAACAATAACAGGTGTCTCAGAAGAGAGCAGGAAAGTCAGTGCTGTGCATAGTGTGGTAGAATGCTCTATTGAGCAAGAGACTGATGCAATTGAAAATGAAAAAGGCAAGTTAAACAAAAACCTAGCGGGTGGCTCTGTTCTGCCTAGTCAACATTGTGGCGAATTATCTGAATCGGTATTTGTGTCTGAAAAGAGACTGGAGGGAACTTCAGATACAGTTCTGACTGATGATATTGTTCAATCAAAGGAAGAGTTTAGCGACAGGTTGGCTTCTAAGATGGCAATGAGTGAAAATGGCGAGGAAGAGACTGATGGAAAGGGAAACCCAAGAAAGAGAAACCTAATGGATGTTGTGGCATCAAACTGTGAATATGCCAGTATAACATCTGAAAAGAGAGAGGATATAACTTCAGAGAGTGGGCTGGCTGACAAAATTGTTGAATTAGAGGAGAATACTGATAAATTGGCCCTCAACAAGGTCATAGATAATCTTTCCCTTAAAGATGAACCTACTAAGCCAATGGATGTGTCTGCAGATACCTTTCAAATGAAGACTGATGCAGCACAAGCTACAGACTTTGCCACTTCTGTCAATTCAAATGAGGTCTACGACAAAGAGGAAAAGGAAAATGAAAGTGTTTATGTGCTTTCAGTCCCTGATGATATTCCTATTGTTGACAATGCTGAAATCAAGCTTGAAGGTTTTAAAGATCATAAGGGAGTCAAATTACCCCAATTGGAGGCCTTGGCTTCTGAAGAAATAATCATTGGTACGGAATATGAAGTCAGAGACCATGTTTCTCAGGAGAAATCAGATACTTTCTGGTCAAATCAGTTGGATGAAAACATTAAGGTAGATACTTCACAAATGCATGATGTTGAAGTTAGCCATAAACTTGGTGGGGATAATGAGGCTATGGTTAAAGAAGTGCTTGTTGAGGGGAAAGCTGATGTGCTTGAGATCAATAAAGGGTCTAATGCATTAGGGTCTCCTGTTGATGCTGATACAAGTGAGAATGAGAAGGACCACAAAGTCTACTCTCTTCAAGAACAGCAGCCTGTTTATGTTACTGATGATTTACATCAGACAGGTTTTTCGGGAAGCATGATAAATGTTGTACCTGATGTGAATCCTATGGTTCCTCCTGCAGATGCTGAGGCCAGAAAGTTAAATAATGTAGTTGGCAGTGATGATATGGGTATTCCTGAAAGCACTAGAACTGGGGCAATTGATGTAGCAGGGAGCAACAAAGACAGGAGAATTGATGATGGGAATTATGTGGAAAACACTGAAACATTATGTGAATCTACTAATAATTCTTCTCTCCCCCAAACTAATTCAGCATCCAACTTATTTGAAGTTGACAATTCTAATGATATTAGGACAAGAAAAGCTGAAAAATATGATATTGATGTAGTTGAAAGTGGGGAAGGATCGGAGGAGGGATACATTTCAATGAAAACCAACTCTGCATTTGAATCCAGTAGCACTCATCATCAATCCCCAGTTGTCACAGAAGAAGTGAATAATGAATATGTGAGAACCTTATCTGAGACTGAAGGCCCACAGTTGGATAGAGTTTCAAACAGTCAAGATGACATAAAGGAATGCGAAATAAATAGGGATAACAAGGTACAGGGAGAGTGTGCTGGTAAAGATCTTATGGCATCTGCATTAGATCACAGTGGAGGAAATGAATTTGGGAGAACTTCAGAGGACCAGTTAAAGAAAGAGTTGAATCATTTGCCGTCAGATGCCGAGCCTACCAGTCAAAGTTCTGGTGCTGTTGATGATAGCCATACCGGAGGGTCTAGAGTGGATGCTTCTGGGATTAGCACCATAACTTTGCCAGGAGAGGCTGATAACGGCTTTGTTAAACATCAACTTGATACAACTGTAGTTGATGTTTCAGTTGAATCAAGTAGTCAAACTGATAGTTTGGAAGGCCAATGGGGATCTGTTTCAGGTACGTCAGCATCTTCTTTCTCAATAAATATGTGGTGAGAACTTTTGTGGTATAAACTTATCCTACTACGATGAAGAATATCTAATCTAACTTTACTAAGCATTTATAAACTTATATGAAGTTTAGAACCAGTTCGATCTGAAGTAGGCTACTTTAGGTTGTAGGATACTCAATCATGAATTATGTATGCAGTAAAATGTATGGTTGTGTGTGTGTGTGTGCATATTTCTAGAAATAGTCTTGACTTAGATGGCTGAGACTTAAGATGGTTTATTGTTTTTCTGCACGGAACAGTTCTTTCAACTCAATCAGATTACCCAGCCGTTGTCGACACTGAAACTTTACCATCAACTGGTTCACATGCTTCGGCAGAAGCAGAGAAAGACAACATAAAGAAGTCAAAACTTGCATCTGAGGGACAACATTTTGATAAATCAGATGAATTTGAGCCGCCATCTTTCATGACATTGGTTGAGCCTGGAGGCGGTGACCAAAAAGTTGCTGCTTCTGAAATCCAGACAGCACAAAACGAACAACACCCCAGAGCCGCACCTCTGCAAGCTGGCTGGTTTCCTTCTCTTGCTTACGTGGCAAATGAGTCTCAAGGAAGAAAGAAGAATGAAGAGATCATAGCAAAGGTAACTAACTGGAATGCAAAGCAGCACACGCCTTTGAAGAACCTACTGGGTGAAGCCAACAGTGAAACCAAACCGAAGTCGCCTAACGCAAAAGAAAACCCAGCTGTTGTAATTCCAAGAGAGGAAAAAGTAGCCAAAGATAATGGAGCGTTGGGTACCAAAGTCAGCTCAATTCTGGGCCCTGAAACATCTGTGGCTGAGCCAACCAATACGGAAGCAGGGAAAGAATGGAACTCGCCTGCAAGGTATCCAGCTGATATTAAGACAGAGAAAAGGAAGGTGAAGGGTAGGCCCCTATGGGTACAGTTTGTATGCTGCTCATCTGTAAATTAGTATTATAAAGTTCTCCAGGACTGAATTAAGAGACGTTACTGAGTGGGGGTGCCTTGATGCTGCAGCATTACTTGTAGCCAAGTGGTTTTTAGCCTTGAATTTTGTTCAGTGTTGAAAATTACCACCCGCATCCAGTGTTAGTTGTAATTTTGTGCCCATAAGTGAACTATTAAGTTGAGGGATTGAACAAATTTTAGTAATGCTAAGCGTATCTCGTGTTCTTTGTATATCTCTGATCAAACCTGCCCGTCTTGTTTCTATTTGTAAGATTTTCCATATACCCTTTCAGCGTGATTGCACTATGAATAAATTAACTTCTTTTTTTAACGGTCCTCGCCTACATAGTTTGAAATTAAATATATAATTTTTTCAATTGTAATGGAAATTTAGATTGACGATAAAATTTCTATGATCTTAACCCAACGAATATCCAATGTTTCTTCTATATAACAACTGAAATAGTTAAAGGGTGTTTATATTTATAAAATAGAATTGATGAATTAAAATAACAATATTTCTTCTAAAATTTTGATCAGGTGCTTTCTCGTAACCAGATCAGGATTGTTCACCATCGAAATTAATCAAAGCAAGAAACTTCAACATGATCTGAAAGACTGGATCTGCTTTTGATGAATACCCATTCTGGCCTCCATCTGCAATCTACCCAATATCTGCTACAATTATCCAATTTGGACTATTAATTAAAATTTTGTGTATGTGATGATATAATGATCTAGCACAGGGCTGTTACCATTTGCCAAAAGAAGTCTCTAGCAACTAGCTTAGAGACTTCAGGTGGCATAAAGATCCGAGTGCTAATAAAGTTGCCTTTTTTTTTTTTTTAAAAAAAAGGTATATATTGTAGATCCAATTGGATCAATACTGAATGAGTTCATTGCACCTGCTATACTGGTTTTGTTGATGTTTCTTTTATTATTGGGGTTCGCTTTTTTCCTTCTGATTGCAATTCCTCTACGACGCCACGCTACTAAGGATTTTTCCAAATATGGGAAAGTTATAAATTTTAATAGGTTTCTTGGTTTAGCAGAGGTCAAGAATCCTAAAAAATCTGGCTGCTCCTTTTTGAATCCACGTCTGAGAGCAAGATGCAGGCAGTTACATGGTAGAAACCAACTATATCTGGCAGATGAAAGAGCAGCTGCGAATTCAACTTCTGTTCCTGGGGCTGTAGAATGAAAGAACATGATTGGAGCTGGAGATCATGGGGTAGGAAATAGTGCAGAAGGTGATGAAATACCTGGACGTCGTAGCATTGAAAGAGCCATAGAGGAGCGCCTGGCCATGAATGTAAAAGGAAATACTGTAGCTGAAAGCAGGGCTTTTGAATTTAAAGTTGTTGCAAGGGATGGGCTGGATGCTTCTATCGGGAAGTTGGAAAATGGTAAAACGACACAACTAAAAGAATTATTAAATTCGAATCAAGTTGGATTAGGTTCAATGGTGACAGAAGGAGAATTGAAAGTAGAAAATGAGCAGCAAAAGGATCCTCAGGGAGGCGAAGAAGAGCTTGAAATCAATATGCACGAGGGATATCATGTAGTTTGCGTTGGTGAAACCAGTGAAGGTGCTGATTCAGTGGCTGGAAACAGGGTTCAAATATTACAGAAGAGTCCAGAACATCGGACACCGACGGACCTGAAGGTTTTACAAAATTATGATGTTTATGAAGCTTCTGTTCAAAGCGCCACGGCTGTTGATAACAATCATGTGAGGAACTTCTGTTTGGATGCTCCCCCTGGAACTGCCCACCAGCCTTCAACGGAAGAAGGTATTCTTTCATAAATTTTTTGTTTACATGCAATTGCTATCTGTTTCGCGTGCATTAGCTTTAAACTGAGACAACTAAATGCAGATCTTTTATTCATCCCAACGAATCAAAAACAAGAAAGTAGCTTCCGCGTTACATACCCTTTAACCACTAAAGAAGCGGCCATTAGTGCGTGTCACCACCATTTCCATTGCTTGCAGCATCAATCAATTCCCCTTTCAAATGCCATTATCATGATTATGGCCGGTAAAAGTTGAAATATGAACAATTTTCAATGGTACTTAATCACAAAACATGGAACTAGCTTTCTCAAAGATAATAGAAATCAGAGGATATTTTACGTGTTAATTATGAAGGACTTACTGGAAATCCTTGCAACTGCAAGGTTTCTTTTATATAAACTCTTCGGTTATCTGTCAAAATCCCCGCTGGGTGGTTGCAAGTCCTGCAGTTAATTGCTTGAGGATAAGTTTTTGAATATTACAGGAGATTGTAACATTGAGAATGTAGTTTGTTTGATTGTTCTGATGAAGCATATCATTATTCTCCTGTAAGTTGTTATAATTTGACGGTTTGAATATTTGACTTTCTAGCAACTACACAAGCAGCAGAGAAACTGAATTTGGAGAAGCAAGACACTGAACTGGAGGCTTACATTTTAGACAAATTGAGCGCGCTTCAGCCATCTTTCAGGACGTTGCTTGAACCAAGTGTTGTAGGCACCAGTTCCACTGTTGGCTCTTCACAAAATTATAAGACAGGACAGGAAGCTGGAAAGTCAAAATGGAAAAAGAAAATTGAGGACATTGTTGCCAAGGTAACAAAAAATTCGGGCTCCAAGAAACGTCTGCAATCTCCTCTGGAAAACGTTCTGTACGAAGCCGATGTCAAAGGCATTCTGAAAATGAGACGGGAAGAAGAGAGGAGAAAGAGTCAAGTGAAGCAGAGAACAGGATGGCCAAGAGCATGCATTTGCTGCCTGCATAGTAAAAGCACTGGAAGAACATGGAGGAATGGAAATTTCAGCTGGAGGAGTACAGCTCCGATTGGTAAGTAAAAAAACTAACCCACCAATATCATTACATTGTCTTGCAGGAATTGTCTTATGGAGGAGATGATTCTTGTTTCAATAATTCATTATGCTAGTTAGAGGGTTTTATTTCTTTTTTTGAAAGTTGGTATTTTATAGATGAGTCAAGCTACAATGCCATGTGGAGTCTTAAACTTTAATGGTAAAAAACTCTTTTTGGCATAGAAGCTAGCTTTGGAAACTGCCTGAACTGTACATTTGCAAAAGAAAACAAGCTGCTCAAAAAGCTATTGGCAGCATCCTCAGAAAGAAACAGCCCCTAAACAAAAATTTAGTTTTGGCTTATACCCTATCAAAGTGTAAAGAGAAGATAAAAAAATAAACAGCAACAGGAACAAGATGGTCTTCCTTAGCGGAACTGAAGAGATTAACCACTCCAGCCTATGCGATTTGCAGAAGCCTCAAAAGCCAGAAAAGAAGACTAAATAGAATCTCGTGCTGAAGCCTCCTTATATCAGTCATCCCTCTTGAAGTTAATCAAACGAAATCACCCAAAAGCACACCTATTGTTTCAAAAGCTGCAACAAACCATTGTTACCCAGCACAAGTAGCCCACCATTCATTGTGTTTCTCAAGCTTCAACCTTAACAAGCATCGCTCTGCATCTCCCCTCTGCTATATCCATCCCTTCACCACACCATAGCCCAAAATGCTTATCAATCGCCTCAAAGGACCAGCATTGTCAACAGCCAATCCTTTCACCAGAAAGCAGCATAGAACACAAAGCCACATCCACAAAAGCCCAAGGGATTGGTGGAAGACTAAACAACACTTAATTGAAGGAAAAAAGGGGGAATAATAAAATTCATTACTTTGAACATTTTATAAAAGTTCAGATCGACGAATAAAAAAGTAATCAATCGTCAATCAGTAATAAAATTATTTCTTCTTCAAAAGTTTTAGAGGATGAACAAAGCATATATTAAAGAAAATGATAATATATATAGAGGCTATTAGACGACAATGATTTTACAATTTCATCTTTAGTTTCAGATAATTGTTCTATGTCAAAAATATATATATTAAACGGATGTATGAATATAAATGCCCTCTTTTAATCACAAAATCGTCTTTTCGTCTTTGTTTCTCTCCTATTCCTTCCTTAACAAATAGGACAAAATATTTCTATATTGGATGTATGTGAAAGGTTTGAAAGTTGTTTGATGACTTTGGTTGCTGTTTCTGGATATTCATCTAGATGCTCCTTTTAAGCAAAAATAAAAATAAAAATGAAAGACCTGTCTATTAGGGCATTGAATACGAATTTGCATAGAAAGGATTGTTTTGATGGAAAATGGATAAGATCTAGTTTGCTGAGCTTTATCAGTAGGTTGGAGTCAAAATCAAACCTTTTTATGCAAGAGACGACTAAGTCATGCCTCAGCTGATATGCATTTTCGATATACAGACATTTTCAGGAAGAGTTGAAGTCAATAACGTGATGATATGGAAATATTATTGTACCGGATTCAGCAGAAATTGCCTGAAAGAATTAGCACATGATTAATTATTATATGTTAAATTATATTCCCTCAAATAGTATGTAGAAAGTCATATCCAGAATTCTCTGATTAAGACTTTTATCAAATCTATCTTCAAGCTGTATTTTTCCCAGCTATTCATACGCGGCCTTTGCCTGAATATATCATCCTTTTATTTACCTAGGCTTTTTCTTATTATTATTTATTTACCTATTTATGTTTTGTCTTGTCTATGAAATTGAACACTATTCCCTCGGCCTCAAATCCAAATTTATTAGGTCATTTTATTTTATACTACCATTTAAATGCAATTAAAGCTTATAGTTTTTGTAGAATTTGTTTTTTTCAAAGGGTAGGTAATTATTTGACAACCATTTTTTAAAAGTACAGATCATAAATTATATTTAAATTGTGAGTTTAGTCTGACAAAATGTTACATTTTAATCAAGTACAATGATGAACTCATATTTTAAGAGCCAAACATGCAATCTATTTATAATACTATATCTATACTGTTGGAGTTTATTATGTCGATAAAACCTGGATTTTTGCAATTGGTTCCAAAATTAAGTACAAATTATGAACAATGATATAAATGAATCGTGAACTTAGTTTTAATAGCACCAACAGTGACATTTGTTAATCGACTTCACATTTATATTAATGGTGAAAACAATGAATACTTTATAAGATGAGTTTTGTTCTTTCAAAAGAATAATAATAAAATGTTATTATACTTATCTAATATTTTAATTTTTTTTGTAGACGTTATAGTTCAACTTTAACAAATACTAGTTAAATTCTGTTTTCGCAATAATATCCAGGTTGGACGGTCGTACCGCCAGTGATTGTTGTATTTCGCTAATAGTAGAATTAAAGGAATCTGCACCAAAGCTAGAGCTTTGACCTTGGAAAAAGAAATCTAGAAATGATTGAAAATAGGTTTCACGCCATTAGCAAGCATTCCCCTCTATCGTCTATGCAATACGACTTTCATGTGAACAAAGTATTCTCACTTTTCAACCTTTTTTGCTTTTTGTTTTTTGTTTTTCGGTGTTCCCTTCTCATTTTTATGGTAGACTTTGGCTCGGTCTTATGAGAAAGTTCTCCTTCGGCTTATCCAATAAAAGAAATTACTCGGTTACCTTCTCTTAATTTGTTTCCAGGAATCATCACCCATCTAAAGTAATTTAGAGATTGTGAAGGTGGAAAAAGCTTTGGGTGAGTTCACATGGAGGTTCTACCCCTTCCATGCCATTTGGAATCCCACAGAGGTTATCTTGGAATAAGTTGATTTTTGAGGATATGGCAGAGGTCAATAGAAAAGTAAAAATTGGCTAGTTCCCTGCAAAATATGTCTAGCTTAACGCGTTTGCACAAGGCAAGCAAGGGATCTGTTGGGGTTACATGAACAACTGGACTAAGGATATTGCCATTTCCATCTACCCACCCACCCACTGTTTTCCAACGAAGCCCTTAACAAACATGT